TAAGTCCCCATATTCGATGCAATTTTAATTTCATTTTACCTTTTTCACTACATTTTACCCAGTTATCAACTGCCATAGATTGTACCAAAAGACTATCCGGTCACCAAAATCTTTTTAAATAAACTGTGCTGTTTCAGCCAAAGACGTGAATCCAAGGGTTCTATTTCAAACAAAGGTTTTATTCTCAAAAGCTTTGTTTCATCCTGTGAGGTGAAGATTTTTTTCCGGTTCAGAGGACGACAGCGGAAGAACAGACTGTATTGATCCCACACGTACCGTCACCACGATAAATCCGAAAGTAGCCCTGAGAAGGTCAGAAGAGGGGAGTGTTACTTGAATCGTCCAATATTGCAGGAATAAGAAGTCTAGCAGGCTTCATGATGGTAAACAGACGAAAAATGATGTGACGTTACCACCGAGGATAATCAATTTAACCGTGCGGTGGTTTGCCGGTTGAAAAATACATCATTGTAGTTTAACTGGCATGCTTTGCCCCCAGCACACTTTCACCTAGAAGTTACTCATATCTACGAGCTCGGGCATTGGGTCACCCAGCATCATTAGTTTTTGTTTGTCTTACTTTCTCTCCCCAGTTCTTTCCCCAACTATTTCGGACGATCCAGTAGGGCACATTGTGTTCACTTCCGAATCCAACGGACAACACGGCATGATTCAAACCAGATGGGGGGCATTCAGAGTGAGTTGGATGCATCACACCGGAGATATAGAACTGGAATCAACAGGCAAATAATACAAGATACAAGGATGAACTTCACTCCCGCTCACAATGAATAGAGAAAAGTAGCTGATATTCCACCATTTCGGTCTTGATCACTGTTAAAAACAGCTCCCTAAATCCTGTTACTTGAGGACAACCTGGGAAGTTCTACCTATGTTTGCTTCATTTGACAAGGTTTAGGGGACGTTTTACAAAAAAGGTGAGCAACCATCATTAGCTGTAAAATCAGACGATAGTTCACAAAAGTAGGAAAACCTCCCCCTAGCGGTATCGCATCACCAACCAAATATGGTAGAAGGTAGAGTGTACGACGCCTTTGGTAGGCAGCTATGGTAAGTAAAGCCGATAGATTTGTGTCCATTTTGTGCTGGCTTAAAATTCAGCAATGCATACTGCGGTATGACGCAAAGAAACGATGAAAGGGGCAACTACACGCAACACTCTTACCTAATTAGATGTTTGGGTTTACTATAACTCAGAATTTGCTTAGTGTAGTGGGGTCACTAACAAAACGTTCATAAAACAAGGTTACTACCTGGAGGTAGTCCGCATTGATGCCTGCACTCAGTGGACCGTTCTTCGCAAGCCACACAGCCTGCTGATTTTCTTTGGTTGGCAGGACCAGGGATTTATTGACGTAAGCCTTGAACTTTGACCGGTCCATCTTGCACACACCGTCGGCTGCGGTGTACGGATAGTCGGCGTTGAGTTCAAGGCCACCCATTTTGACAATGTCACCATAGGTGTCCGGAGGATACCCGCCACCACAGCCATCGTCTACGGAATCACAGTCTATCAGTTGCTGAAAATGAAGGACCAGTCAAGTTTTAATCAGGTTTCATTCGTACAAGCAGACATCTTTCATTGCACAATTCTTAATTTCGGCGTATAATTTACCTGTTCACTCAATGTGAGAAGCTGCCCGGTCTTTTTAAACCACTGCCCTTCAATATTTCCTATGGTAGAAAATGCCCAGCAAGAACCACAGTCACCCTGATCCTGAATGGGACCGACTGCTCCAAGTTCCCGCCAGTCGAATTTTTCGGGGACGTCACCCAGGCCATCAAATACCATAGAGTCCGCACGGCTGGGTTCACGATGAAATCGAGCTCCCAGATAC